TACATACAGCGGGTGAGATAGGTTTAGGTAGTCCACATGGATAATCTCCATAACACAGAATTCTACTCCAAGCATAATACGCGAAATTGATACCAAAAAAACTTTTTTAAAATATGCCAAGCATCCACCTCTAACAACTGCCATAAGAGAGAGAATGGGCATGCCTTGATTTGTAATAATCTCAACTTTTGCTTGAAGTTTTAAAAAAGAGTTTGTTCCACTCATCATTATCATCATTGCCTTTCTCACCCTGGATCAGGATATAGGCCACGAACAAACACTCTCCACCTTTCCCTATCCTGGGCTAGTCGCTTGATGTCACTCCACGTCTTCCCACTTTTCTGTACATCCATTTCCGTGACTCTTCTCCAGGTTCCACGAGGTCTTCCCCTTGATCTTTTACCCTGTGGGTTCCAATCTAACATTTTCTTGTTATGCAGCTGCTTGACTTCCTGTTTGTTCCACTGCTGAATGAGCATTTATCCAATTTGGCCTTCTGTACGATTGAGTTTGACACCCCCTGTTGTAAAACGTAATGACTGTTACAGACGTTGTAAAAGAGTATCTTTAGGTGTTGGTAGAAAAAGGTCAATGTAGAAAAAAGAAATAATTATAAGTGTAAACAGTAATTGCAGACTTTAAAAGTAATTTTACTTGGAAACGGTAATTATTATAGACGTAATAAATAATTCAATTTAAAAGAAACACTTAGTTCAGATGTGGTATAGGTAAAAGTCATTATGGATGTTATAAAAGTAACTGCAGATGCTGTAGAAAGTAATTGCAGATGCAAAAAGAAATTGTAGAGGTGTTTAAAAAATAACTGTAATTGTAAAAGGAACGTCATTGTAGATGTTGTAAACTGTGAAATTGTAGATATTGTAAGACGTAATTCTAAGTGTGAAACAATTGTAGATGATGTAAAAAGTAACAGGGGATGTTTTAAAAAAGAACCCGTCATTGAAGATGTTATAAAAGGTTATTGTAGATGTTTAAAAAATGTATGTTGTAAAAAGTAACTGGAAGTTTTTAAAAGTAATTGTAAATGTTTTGAAAAGTAATAGTAGATGTCAAAAAAAGTCATTGTAGTTGTAAATATATAATTGAAAAAGTGAAAAGAAAGGACAAAATTTTGTAGACATTTTACGCCACCATTGATACCATGTATATCATTTTGGGAGCAGAGAGATTTGTCGAGGTGATACTATCAACAGCAATGCCGATATTTAGTTTAGTGATGGAACGATAATACTACGGTTGCTAAAGTTCTCATAGGCGGTGAGGGGGTGGAGGGGAGTACAGGGACATTCGTGGTTTAAAATAGAATCAAAGGCACAAGATCCATTAAGTTAAAATAAAAAAGTATTTGTAATAACAACAACAGTGTTAATAATAGTTAATAATAATATTA